TGGCACATATTCCTCCTGTCTTACTGTCCCAGAGAGCTAAGATTACAGGTGTGCACCACCATGTCTGGCCCCATGAATGTTTTTGAGTTATATCCTGATGTCAGTCTTGTAAGATTAGTCTCAGTTGAGGACAGTGTAGTGCAATTGAAAACCCTGGTCAGGATCAAAATTCTATCCCTTCTGATTTGTGTGGCATTGGGTGGGTTATTCTCTTCCCAGAATACTAGGGGCTAGTGCAAGGATAAATTAATTCAGACATGTAAAACACTGAGAACAGAGTTTCAACATGGTAGGTGTTCAGGAAAAATTACTTATTCATTATTCCACTATTAAAAAATTTGGGTGAACCCATGCTCAAGTCATGTAAGATTGGTTTCAAAAAATGTGAAACTTCACTAATTTCAAAAAGGAAAAATTATAAAGGAACCATGAATCTTTTCTTGGTGGTCATCAAACATGTGAAGTGTTTGTGTTACTGGTATGATAATGTAGATCTTTAAAACATTCAGGTGAAGATAGGTGTTAATTTATTGAGAGAACAAATGTACTAAATAATTATTTATTGTTGTATGTATGGAATATGTGGAGTTGAATCTTTTCTTTTCAGTGAGTTTATTGTCTAGAGTGTTCACAGAAGCATGAATGCACTAGGCTGGGTACAGTGATAAAGGAGAACACCAGAAACTAGAGGAGTTCTGAGCAGAAAGTCTCCAGGGGTCAGTGAAACATCCTACAAGAATGGATATCTGGACTGATTCTTAAAGAAAGAAGAATGCTAGACAAGGAAAGAGGGCCCAAAAGGATTTTAGGGACAGTGTGAGCTAAGGCATGACAAAGGAAGTGGGACGCTCTTTTGGAAGCTGAAAGTAGGAAGAGACACAAAGGCAGGCTAGAGGCATGGCTGGGGCCAGCTTGGAGATGGCCCCTCTGCCATAGTCAAGAGCACTTGAGTCAAGGAAGTGGTGGAATGTGGCCAGAGTTGTGTTTTGGAGCGATCACTGGGGTGTGAGGATCAGGGCTTGAACTTATATATTTATAAGGAATGGAAAGGAAGGGAGTGATTTCAGAATGAGGAACCGTTAAACGAGAGGACTACATGTTTGTTTTGAGTGGACTGTGTTACTCCTTTCCAACTGATACAGAGCACAGAGAGTGAGGCAGCGGAGTTTTGGATGAACATTAAGGTCCATTAAGGTATATTTTTAGTTTCCCTGGACCTGCAAGGTTGTCGGTGGTCAGCAGCCAGCTGGCTCTGAGGCTGCAAGGAAGTTGTCTGGGCTGGAGAGGTGGATCCTGGAAGCACCACTGGAACGATGGCAGTTAAAACTTGGAGAGACCATGAGAGGCCAAGGAAGAACGGGAAGAGCTAACAGAGTAGGCTGAGACCAGAATTACAACAGACACCGATGTCTAAGGGATGGGCATCTGAAAAATAGAATCTAAAGAGGCTGGAAACCAGGCTAACAAAGCAGGACGAAATTCAACTTGAGGAAGGCCAGGCAGAAGTACAACCATGTGAAATGAATGCCAAAGTCTCGGCATCATCCTTCCTGGGGAACTTTATGGGTTTGCATCTTTATGCAAACTGCCCACATTAAAGATTTCTCTTCCCACCCCCAGCCGTTATTTTTCTTTCCTTACTTCTTTCTTTTTTAATATCAGGTTTTACTACAGGTAGCTGTCTAGCCCTAAACTGATTTTTTCCCCTTTTTGCCTGTAGACTAAAACCAAAGTATAAAGTGGAGCATGAAAAATGATCCTATTGTGTCTCCTCACATCTCACCCCTCCAGTGAAAACTGGACTCATAAAACCTTTCATTTGAGTCCTGGATTGAGTTTAGGTCAATTCTTCTTTTTAACTGAATCCATTCCATTTTCTCTCATCATCCTTCAAATATGTTCTTTTGCTGCTCTTTCACATCCTTTTATGAAATGTTTGTCCTAAATCTCTTTTATTTTGAGTGGCACTTATAAACTGGAGTCTAGCACAGAGCAGATGTATTCATTTAATAGTTTGCTTTGATGGCTCCTTTAAGAGGCCTTATAATCTTTATATTTTACCATTGGGTGTGGGATTTTATGCTCCTTTAACAGGTGTATTACCTTCATCAGATGTTTTCATTTTAAGCTGTTGACTTATAAACACATGGCCTGCGGGGATTGGCGTGCAGACGGTTTGCTCTCTTACAGATTTATTCTCTCATTCATTTTTGTATTTAGTGCAGGGAAGCCTAGATTGATTGATAATGACAGTTCATTGGTAAAAAGAAAATTGGCTCTTTCAGTGACCAATATAATTGTTTCCTACAGTTGACAAAGGGTCAGGGAAAGATCACTCATATTGAGAGGATTTTTTAAAACATTAATTAAAAACAAAGTGGTTCCAGCCCATCCGTAGTTCTCCAGGTCTGTGGTTTAGGAGAAAGTTGTGCTTATATATTCCTTCTGAGGACACTTGGAGCTTTGTCTTGGAATATCTTTCATTGTTCAAGGCTTTCGCACTCTTCCAAAGACAATATATTTGACTTCAAATTGACATGTCCTGATCCTATGCACTAGGAATCCATCATGCTTCTATAAAAGACAGGAGTGGAGAAAAGGCTGCCCTCCCATTGGGTATACCAAGGGGGCCTGAACAGGACAGTCTTACATGAAATCTGTGATCCCCATGGACTGTAACCAGCGGCCCCATCTTTTGTAAGTTTTGGTGAGGTGAATGAAGGGAGGAATTCAATGAGCCATTAGATGAGCAGCTTGGTCCTGCCAGGTGCTGGTGCTGCATGGAGGTTTGGGTATGCAAAGGAGAAACTGTCCCAGAGCCTTCTGACCTGGAGTGTTTGTAAGAAAAGATCTAAAATAAAAGGTTTTCCCTTTACTTTTTGCCTTGGATGCTACTATAGACATTAATTGAGCAATTCTTCCTGCATGTCCCTGACAGTCTCTGAAAAAGGCTCAGGGCATCTCATAAGAAGGGTAGAGCAAAGCATTTGTCAGCACAGAGAGGGAGGATCAGAAGTTTAAGACTGCCCCGCTTAGGGTGCAGTGTGTTCTGTAGTACTGTAAAATGAATGTGAAGATCCAGCCAATCTCCTGTGACTGATTATCTTCCTCATAAAAGCACTGTGAGTGATCCAACATGCTCTGGCATCATTTCTACCTGTGCCCAGGAGGGGCCAGGGCTGAGCCAGCATTGCAATGGAATTGCCCAGGTTTCCTGGATGCAAAGGGCATCTCCTCTTAGTGAAGAATGGGAGGATGGCCAGCCCTGGAAAGAAAGTGCATGACTTCCTCTTGCATTCTACCATGTGGTCTGTCAAGAGTAAACAAAGGGGAGCCAACAGGAGCAGAGAGAATGACAGCATGAAGAAAATCTCGAAGGAGGGAGGAGAGGTAAAAGAAAGGAGGCTGGCAAAGTACTCTGAAAATAAACTTTTTGGGAAATATTTTATCTTAAAGGAGAGAATGTGATAGCTGTCTCCCTTTGCCATCTCAGAAGGTCAAGTTAAAATTTTACTTCAGTACAACTGGAGCATTTTTGTAATCTATTTATAGATATGCATCGATCAGGGTACATACATTCCTTCCTTCTTATTCCTTTTCCCTCTATCTTATTCTGGTAGCTCTTTGATGATTTCCTTTTTTTAGTTTATTGGTACATTTCAGATATACATACTGATCATCAACATAGGGGAACCTGTACTTGATATATTTTGATTCCTCTTTCCTAGTAGTCATTTTTTAAAATATTTTTTGGAGGGATATCAAAGCCATCTGTGAACTGAGTGTTTTTCCCTATAGAATCATGAATTCCTTGAGGAGAGCAGCCAGAATTATTTACTTTTTGCTTTCATCACTAGCATCCAGGCTTTGCACAGTCCTGTGTCTCACAGGAGACACTTATTTAGTGAATGCATGAGTAAGAGAACAAATAAAGGAGTGATTGAGCAACCGAGAAAGTTATGAATGGACAGACAGATAGTGGAATCAAATTGTTTTCCCGTCGGTGAGTCACGTATACAGCCACATTTCTCAGTTGCCTCTGTGGACTTGTATGAATTTACACTCTTGGCATAATTCTGTACCTCAGTCTACTGCCTACCCAGTGTCTTTGGTAATAGTCCTCTCATTCAGGAAACCAGGGGAAAATCAGTTACTAGAGGTAAGGAACTTTGATACCCTTTTGCAAAACAAACAAACAAAGCAACAACAAAAAGCAGAAAGCAGTCAAGCAAGTAAAACAAAAACCCCAGTGTACTGCAGGCACTATTATTTTCAGAAAAAATAAACTGGGCTTGAACAGCACCAGAGGAGTTAAAGGCAGCCAACAAAATGAAAAACAAAAGCTCCTGGGGAAAAGTCAAGAACTAGAAAACGCAATAGTTAGCTGATAAAATGTCTGCTTTGGTTTCGGCCAACTTCCTTGAACCTTGCCCCACTGCAGTGGCCCCCAGTAGAAGTGGAAAAGAGGTGCCAGTGATAAATCACCCTGCCACGAAACAACACAAACTTTAGTAAATTGCATGTGGAGGCCAGAGCGGGGACAATAATGGTTCGGCAGGGGCCAGCAAGCAGGCCCCAGGGGGGTGGGATATTCGGCCCTCCTTAGCCACAGGGTGCCTTCTGCTCATTCATAGGTGGAGAATGAGTGGGGTGGTTTTCATTGAAATATTCCACTGTATCTGTCAAGAGTCAACCAAACAAGCACCCCGAAAGCTACAACGCTGGCTGAAACCTTCACCTCAAACCCAGAGTCAGAGACAGCGTAGACGACCCCAGTCAACTGTTACTTTTCAACATTATAAAAGACAAAAAGGAAAGCAAATTAACTGAATTCATAAAACTAATCCCAAAACTTGAGAGAGTTAAAAAATATTCTTTACCAAAGCAGCTTAACTGTTGTGTGAACACATCTATTCCTCCGCTGTTACGGGGGTAGGGGGAAGAAAGTAGGAAAAATCCTTCAATTGTTATAGAAATTCAGACCACACCTGGGTGTGTACCTGCATATTTTGGTGAGGAGGTGAAGTTGTCTCGGAGATGTTCTCTCCTTGATGTGATGGGCTGTCGAGGGCTCCCTATCTTCTGCTGGATGCCGAAGCAAAGTAATATACTTTTCTCCACCTGGAATCAATTTCTTTTTCAGTGCCAAACACCTTGTCCGTAAGAGGCCTATTCTAACATACCTAACATTTCTACCTTGCCCTGAGAGATCAATGCTGTTTGTGTACCATGTCCCCTATCAGACTGCAAATTCCATAAGGTCAAAATCCATCTCTGATTACCAGGGCATCTTTCTCTGCTCTGCCCATCTCCTGGCATGGGAGGAACACTTATGAACACACTGCGTATTCGATAAACATCTGTGGAATAAGTGAGTTATATTACCCCCTGTTTCTATGCTCCCTAGTATTTTGAACAGGACACTAATTCTGGGGCCAGTAGAGGGATTCTACTTAAGTGAATGCCATATTTTGCTTAAAACCATAGAATTACTATTTTTTTCTGCAGGACTGTACTTCCTTTTAAAAGCCAAGTTCAAATAATTCCTCCTCCCCCACAAACTAAATCACCAAATATGCACCCGTAGACGGCCCTTGCTTTTAGTATCCACTCCTGTGCTTTTTCCAACAAATTCTGGAGGCTCCCCCCACAAACTGCGCTTATCTTGTTAACCCCTCCCCTCCTACCTGCCTGTGCTTGATGAGTTCTGAACATTTTCAGACAGTTCCGTTGTTGCCAGTGAAATGTCAAACAAAATGGTGTTCAGTGTGCCTGGGGGTTTTACATGAGGAGCTGCCTGGCACCCTGGTGTGGGCTGCATAGCGCATTTTCCGCGTAAGGGCAGCCAACTCCAATCCCACTCCTGGCTCAGACTGAGAACTGGAGCCGCTGCCGGAAGAAACAGATTTAAATGACAAGGTGTTTTATCCACATGCGTTTCTCTTTGTGGAGACTTTCTGTGGAGCTGAAGAATCTCTTCTCATTCAGTTCAATTTCTTACACACAGACACAGACACACACACACACACACACACACACACACACACACACACACCACCCCTGTCCAGCCCCACTTACACTCTTGGTTCTCTAAGGACAAGAGTTGGGTTGTTTACTATTTTCCCAGGGTACAAAGTCTTGAAGAGCTTAATTGTGGATGTAATCTGAAGAATCAAAGTCAGCCTCATTCCTCAGAAGAAAGGGGCGAGTGTGGGAGAAAGGAATTGGTCCTCGCTTAGCGGTGCCCAAAGCAATGTGGCCCACTCCTTTCCCTTTGAGAAAGGAGGTGGGAGGGGCGGGTGGGTGGCGGGAGGACTCCATTGTCCTTTTAATAGAGGATTCCCTGATCTTCTGGGTTCGCCTTGGTGGCTCCTTATTGTTTACTGAGGGGTTGCTGGTCTATCAGCAGAGAGGGCATTCTGGTTAGGACAGGTTCTGCTGGTGGCTGGAACTGGTTTGAAGAATGGGTGGAACCTCTTTGCTTCTTCCAAACAGGAGCCGGAGTTATTCCAACAGCAGAGGGAAGACAGAGGCTGGGGATGCAGCATTGTGGGAGATGGAACCATAGCCAAAACTTCCACCATTTTCCACTTTCTGAGGCTGGAGAAGAGATGAGATTAGGGAGATGAGAAGAGGAAAGTTGGGTGGGAAAAGGAAAAGACAAGGTGAAAGATTTCAGTGTTCTTCAAAGAGAAGTTTAGGGCTTCAGGGAAATCTAACAGATTTCTCCAGGGATTGTTTGTGCCAGAATCAAATCACCAAAGGGCATGAAGGTGTTGCTAGCCCCATCTCGGGCTGTGTTTCCCTCAATGCATTTGCAAGCTGCTGGCCATGTCTTGCTTCCTGAAGGGTAATAGTTTAATGGGAGTGAATGGCCAATCAAAATCTTGAAACAGAGTAAAAACAAACTACCACCCTGAGCACTAGGATAGACCTTAACTTTGGTTCCATTTTTGTCTTTTTAAAGGACTTAGATCAAGGCAGCAGCAGGGCAGCTCTCTTGGAAAAGGACTGCCCGGTCGCTCCCCGAGTTAGTTCGTCACCTGCAGTGCAGAACACAGTCCCAAGAGTGGAAGCTTCTCTGCACTTGATCTTAACCCATACCATTATATTTATGATGTGCCTTTGAACACTTTATGTTTTATCTTTTCAAATCAATAGATTGTTTTTGACAGATTGTGATAGGATGTCTTTATGCACATCACTCTTCTTGCTGAGTTAAAAATTATAGTCTCTAAAGTGATTTCATTTACATTTGATCCTCTGTGGACCTTTAGGGTCAAACAGAGCACGTCAGACCTTTTGAATCTCTGCTCTTTTCTTAGCCTCTCACCCACTGCTGGCGATGCCCGTGTCCCTGTTCCCATTGTCTTCTGGAATATGCTGGCTTCTCTTGTATTCTCTTAGCAGAGTCTTTTATTAGCAAGGACCGTGCAGTGCTGATGAGATTCTTCTGATCTGATCCAGGTTTCAGGTACTTTTTCTTTGTCCTCCATTTGCTCTCTATGTGCTCTCCTAAGCTACTTTATCAGGGCATGAAAAAGGGAGAACATTCTGTCAATAACAATATTTTATCTAGGGCTCCTGACCAATTAGTGTAAGGGCCATCACTCAAATCCTATTTTCTATTAGTAAGAAGGTGGACTTTTTTTAAAGGGCTGAAGCAAGAGGAGAGAATCACCATTCATTTATTGGGAAGTTAGAATAGAGAGTAAGTAAAAGCTGAACTGCCTCTCAAGGGGATTTACAATTCACTTCTTTTTTAAAGGGGAAAAAAAATCCCTCATTTTATTAGATGAAAAGAGATATTGCAAACTGCAAAAGTCTTCCCTGAAGCACAATAGCCTCTAAGATGTGGAGAATCATTGAATGGTAGTTTGATTTAAGACCTTGGAGATTTTCTATAACCACCTCTCTATTTTAGAGATGGAGAAACTGAGGTCTGACATATTTATTTGTAGGATTTTATCCAAAGTGGTGAATGAACACCTCGAATGTAAAGACAGGTTGTTAGGGCTCTGAGACAGACCTTTCCCCAGTGCAGTCTATAAAACTTATTTGGTGAGTGTTTCTGAGGTCACTACCAGCATGCTCAGTGCTGTACAGGCTAAGAAGAATGAAGAGACGTGCCCTCAAGGAGCTTCATGGTTTATTTATTTATTTTTAAATGAAGATATTCAAATGAAAAAATTAGAGAAGGGTAAAGCTTGACATGTACTCTCAGGCACATCACTCAGTATTCGTCACGTTGGACTGTGATGGATAAAATAGGCGGACCCTAAAATAAGTCACAGGAACCAGTAGAATACTGTCATGTAGCATTACCAGGAAGGACAGAGAAGCAGGGTTGGGATAAAATATGTGAAAAAGGAATGGCAAATACTTGATACTCAAACTACTTTCCTCTCTATTCATGGCAGCCATCCCTCATTGCTTACAATACTTTTCCTACAATGGAGATGTGGTCAAATCTTTTTATTAGTATTATTTTTAGTATTTTGTGTAGCCAGTATAAAATATTTAGAACATGCAGGGAACAAGGAAACTTATGTGCTAACCTCCATATTAGATCTACCTGGCTAGAGTGATGTATTCCTATTTTAATATTAGGAGATAAAAACAGCAAGCCCTACCCTTGGTAGTTATAAATAGTATTTGTCACGATGATCCATTGTGAAAAGGTCTGAAATGTTTATGCATAGTCTATTTGAATTTAAATTATTTTTGTCACGTTGGACCTTTCCAAATGTAGCGCTTACTGCAGTACCTGATTCATGTTGGTCATACAGTAAATATTTGTTGAATGAATGAAACTCACAGAGGAGTTAATTGTAGCCTTGAAGAGGTGAAAGGCCAGAATTTTATAAGCTGAATCCATCCACCTCACGCTGGGATCAGAGCCAAGGAACAGCACATCGCAATATATCTCAATGTATAAACTGCTTTCTTTCGTAAAATTGGTATCAGCGGGGCCCTCCGTTTCCTGCCATGCACATTTGCTCTTAAGTCACAACATTAATTAATAGAGAAAATTTATTGTTAAGAAAAGAGAAGCAATTCTAATTTACTTGTTGTCATGAATTTGGATATCCTGTCTGACTCCATCCCTCTCACAAGTAATGCAGCAGGTTTTCAGTGAATATATTTGCACTTTTAATTGCAGTTTTGAATCAATGAAATTGTAAAATACATGAGATTGGAGGTTTCAGTCTTTCTTTTAACTGCTCACTCACAAGAAAACATTTCTGAAGTATCTACTCTTTGTAGCATTCTGATAGGCAAAAGGAGTGGTGCAGAGAAGGGAAGGTATGGTTTGTAAGCTGAAGGAGCTCAGAACAGAGGGACACTGGCATAAATCAAAACAGCTCCAAAATCCACCAGTTCCAACACGTATACTGTCTATGGGAGTTACTTAGTAAGTACTTATGCACCTCATTTTTTTTTTATTCCTTATATCCTCAATATGGGGTTAGCAAATATATTTCATCTCTGCTGTCTGTTCCAATGGCTTCAGAATGGCCACGTGGAGTTCATTGTCAAAAAGTCCGAGGCCACACGGAGATTCTGGGGAAAAGGGAAGCAATCCTTGAGTGATGTCAGTGTGTGTGGAAAGGAGGGGGAGGAAGCCTGCGTCAGGGAAAAGTGCACAGTCTTTGTACTGAGAAACCGGCTCTGGGGAATAGTCCTCAACACTGTGCCCTCGTTCTGATTCCATAGTTCATGTGGTTCGTTGTGTTCAGAAGTGGAATCCCTAAATGTCATGCTTTTTAAATGGTGATGTGTGTATGACTAGGTCGAAGTATGACTTCTGTGGGGTTAAAGACATAGAAGAAGAACTTTCAAAGCATTAATAGTAATGTCTAGATAGATGTTTAATTTTAAAATGATAGTGATGATAAGTAACATTAGTGTATTGCTTTAGAGTGCATAAAGCACTTTCACAAATTGGAAACAACCTCACTATGTATGAATGGAATATTGGCAAAATAAATCAAGGTATTTGCATACGGTGGGATACTAGGTAGCTATTACAATAGAACCATGTAGGGCTTTATGTGCTGATATAGTGCCACAGTAAGTTTTTTTAAAAACAGGGTACAGAGCAGTATAGGGTATACATATATA